ATTCGTTCACTTTGCTCAGAGACAGCTCTTCATTTGAATTTTGTAGAGTGGTCGACGTCACAGTAGTCGTGTCAGAAATTATCCTTACAAATACCGCAAATACCTTAGCTACCATGTTCATTAGAAATGTTTTCATCGGTAATTTTCGGCCGTTCCAAACGCTGACAGTTATTTACCTTAAGCCTTATGCATTTCAGTGGTGCTCCTACAGACATTTGGTCATGTGGCGTGGTTTTAGTTGCGCTGTTGGCTGGAGAACTGCCCTGGGAAAGTCCTCAACCGTGAGTTTTTGACGTTTTCTTCGAAAGGATTATTACTTTCTTCTGTCTTTCGTTGCAATTTTCAGAAGAATGTTAGTTAAGAATGTTTTATGGAAAAGTCTTAAATGAATGGAATGGACGATATCGTAGAAGTTGTGAACGTCTTTTCATAAAGGCTGTATTGATAACACCGTCATATCGGAGTAGATAGGGTTAAAACTTAAGCGAAGATTAGTAATTTGAATAATTTGAGAGTGTCAATTTGTGCTTCAGTTTCATTGAAATGTTTGAGATCAACTACTGCGTATGCGAATTGGAAGGAATGCCCGAATCTTGATGAGCATCCGTGGAAGAAAATTGGAACACTTGCACTTGGTAAGGATGTGGTTCCAACAATCTTATTCAGTTGCGATGAAGCTATTCTTTTTTGCGTGATATCTTTTGACATTGAATTGGTTGTGCATCTCTTGAATTGTGTCGAAGTCTTTTAGGCATTCACTGCTTTCCCGCTTCAGCGTTCTTGACCCAACGATAGGTTTCAAATAAGCAACGAAAAATCAAAATTTCAAATTTAGCGCTATTACGAACAATGCTGGTGGAGGACGAATCGAGGCGAGCCACAATTGAACGCATTGAAAAGCATCCTTGGTTTACAGCCGATTTCGTTAAAAATAAAGGTTGGTCGATTCACTTGAAATCAGCTGCTTAGTGAACCCAGTCACTTCAGTTTGGAGGAAAGCGACCATTTGCTCTGATATTCCAGGTGTATTAAGTCGAATCAATAGTGATGCAGAACGCATGCCAGATAACGGTGTACCACTCAAAAGACGTCGCTGTGACCTGGGCTATTCTGGCGACTCGTAAGTTTCAAATGTGCTTGTATTTTTCGAAAAGCTGTTTTTGCGATGTAATCATACGACGTTTGAAATTGAACTCAAAGGTACAGA